CATTCATTCCTTCCTTCCGACCGCTTGGCGCGCACTCACGGTCGGGCGGCGCGCCCGGTTGGGCCGCCCGGCGCGGGCGCTAATATATTTATATGTACATATATATATATATATATATATATATATACCGCAGGTGGGGCCTCCTCCTCCTCCTCCTTCTCCTCCTCCTCCTTCTCCTCCTCCTCCTCCTCGCCCATATCCTCCTACTCCTCCTCCTCCTCCTCATCATCATCCCCTGGGCGACGATCAAAACCAGGTGTTACGCGGGATGACGCAGCGACCTCACGCGGTGGCGTGCGCGGACCGCCAGCGCCGGCACGCCCCACTTGAAGCGAGGGCGCTCCCGCGCGACCTTACGCGGGCAGCTTCCATGCCCATGCCGGCGAAGACGACCTCGTGTTTCTGCGCCGCCCACCTCGGGCTGGGGCCACCTCTGGCAGCACTTGGCCCGCCCTGCCCTCCGGAGGCCCTTCGGCGGGCCCTCCGGCGGGCCCTCGGCGGGCCCTCGGCGGGCCCTCGATGCGGGCCCTCGATGCGGGCCCTCGATGCGGGCCCTCAGCGGCCCTCGGCAGGCCCTCGGCGGCCTTCGGAGGCTCCGCCAACCCTCGATGCGGGCCCTCGGTGGCATGTGGAGGCCCCCACGGGCGCCGCGTTTCCGCCCTGGCCGCCTTTTGTGCGTGCCAGGGCCCGAGGCGGGAGATCCAGGGCTGAACGTTGCGAAAAAGCTGCGTGGCAGCTGGCTCAGCCGTCCAGCACCCGAGGCGGCGGCCTGGCGGAGCATGAGGCGGCGGCAGGGAACGAGGAAGAGGGCGGGGAAGGACAAGACGGGGGACGCGATTGGGACGGGATGGGGAGAAGGACGAGGATGGGATGAGAGGATGACTAGGGAAGGCATGCGTCAGACTGGCGAGAGCTCTCCTCCCCCGAGCGACTCTGGAAGCAGACGGAGAATCAACAATCATTTGCAGCAGGCAAGGGCCTCGAGAAACCGCGTGCGAGCCTCGAGCTCGTTGTCCTGGGATGAAGGGAACGGGAGGGGGCGCGAGCGGCCAGAGCGCCCAAGAAGGCATCAGCAAGAAGGTACACAACAGTGAGTGTTCCTTGGTTTGGGGCAGATGGTGGCCTCCTGAGGGGGTGATGCTCATGAAGGTTCCCCCTTTTTCGATCGATCGCCTCTAAGATGGCCCCAAGACGGCCCGAAGCGCTCCGAAGAGGGCCCCAAGAGGGCCCCGAGATGCTCCAAGAGGCCCCAAGAGGCCCCCCAAAGTGCCTCCCAGAGGCCCCCAAGCAACACAAAACAGACCCCAAGAGGCCCCCCAGAGGCGCCCAAGACGCTCCAAGAGACCTCGGCACCGAGACGCCCCGAAAGACCTGTAAGTGTTCAAGGTAGCCCCGCTGTGCGTCGTGTCTGGATGTGCCAGTGGGGATTCGCGAAGCGCTCAGAATTGCGATCGACACCACGGCTCGGGCGATGTAAGACAAGGCTCGCCCGAGAGGCCTGGGCAAACCTCCTGGAGAAAGAGCTCGGGCGAACGCCGACTCAGTTTGGCGTGCACCAACCCCTATGTCGCGCATGCACTGGGGGATGGGGCCTGGGCCGAACCCCGAACTTCAACCCCAGCCCTAACCGCACGCCGAGGCACGTGGCCTGACGCCGAGCCCGCTAGCAGCGCGCCCAGCACGTTTGACCCCAACCTGACGCCGGGCTGTTGACCCGACGCCGACCCCGCCGGCACTCGCCAGGCACTCGCGGAGGTGGCTGTGGATACTGGGCGTGGTACAAGCAGTGAGGGCCTACTACCTGGAGTCCTGCTTGCGTGTTCCTCCTCGGCTTCGGCGACGTCGTCGTCGCTGGGTGCGCCGTAGGTTGAGCCATGCGTTGCGCGGCAGGTTGCGCCATTGCTTGCATTATGTGCGCTCCTTAGGCTGCGCAAGGGGTGCAAAGGTTGCTACATAAGTTCCACCTTTGACTGCACCATGGGATTTGCGGAATTATGTTGCACCATATGTTGCGTCATTTGTGGCGCCACAGCCCTCATGTTGCGCCACAAGTTCAGAGGGCGTCCGAGCCACCTACCGCTGGGAAAACAAACCAACGAGTTACCCTGGCCACGCCTCGTCATGCCCCTCGACCCCCTCACGCTCCCTGGCCATACGAAGAGGAGCATGAGAAGGAAAACAGAAACAACATGCTGTTGTTCTCGAAAGGTGAACACATCCATCCTCCCACTCTTCCTGACTTCTCCTCTTTTTGATCCTGTTCCTTCTCTTTCTTTCTTTTTCTCTTGCTCAGGTGGCCGGCCGGGTTAACGTCACCACACCATGTGAATATCACGTTTAGCCGCGAACGCCGGCACCCGCTGGAGCTGCACGTGCCCCGCGGGCAGAGAGGTGCCAACAGATCCACCCTGCGGCCCCCGGGGTGCCAACGGAGCCCGCTGGCGGCGGTGCCGGCGCCCCCGGGCGACAGGCCGCGGTCGGGGAGACTCTTGCTCTGCGCGGTGCGGCGGCGGCCCTGGCGACACACCGTGCCCCGCAGGCTGACACGCGTCAGGAGGAGGAGGAGGAGGAGGAGGAGGAGGAGGGATGAGGAGGAGGAGGAGGAGGAGGAGGAGGGGGAGGAGGAGGAGGGGGTAGGGGGAGTAGGAGAGAGGAGAGAGAGGAATGAGAGAGGAGAGGGGAGGAGGAAGGGGAGGAGGAGGAGGGGAGAGGAGAGGGGGGGGGAAAAGGAGCGGAGAGAGGGAGAATGAGCGTGTGGGGGAAGGGTGAGGGAGGGGAAGGCTCGGGACGCCGACCGCTCGGGGGCGGGGGCCTGGGCGGCGTGCGGCGCCGAGGCGGCGGCGGGCCAGAGCTGGCGGCGCGGCAGGCGGAGCAGCCGCGCAGGGCCGTAGCGAGGGGCTGCTTGCGCGAGGGGCGCGGGCGGAGGAGCGACGCCCTCTTTGTTGCCTCACGAGGGCCAGCCCTCTTTGGCGGTGCGCACAAGGGGGGGGGGAGGAGGGAGGGCTTCTTAGAAGCAGGCTGCTTCTTAGAAGGCGCCAGCCCTACATCTATAGACAAGGCCCGCGCCGTCTAAGAAGCAGGGGTGCTTCTAAGAAGCCCTCCCCCCTCCCCCCATCCCCCTCTGCGCGTGGCTGACCTCTGTTGCTCCAAGAGGGCCTGGCTGCACGAGGGGGGCTGGAGGCACCACCGCGGAAGGGCCCTCTGAGCAGCGAGCCCCTTCCGAACAGAGGCCGGCACTTCCTTCCGCGTTTTGGCGTGGCGCTGGGCCCCCCAAGCGGCGCCTCCGGCGCCGCCCCTGGTGCGCTCCGCGCGCCAGGGAGGGGGGCCCAGCGCAGGTCCCAGAAATCCGTGCGGAGAGCCAACAGCTTATGTTTATGACATTTGTTCTTCTTCTAGGCGGGGTTGGTGTAGCGGCTGCTGAAGAGGCTCTGAGCCACGACGACCACCACCACACCCAGGTGGGCTGCATGGCGGGCTCAGCGAGTCGGGCGGGGGCCAGCGGCTTCCCACCCCCCGCTCTCTGCCTGGAGTACGGCGTCATCCGCTGCACCCGCAACTCCGAGCAAGAAGAGGCCCCCGACCTGAGACGAAGCCATGACGAGGATAAAACCGTGTGACGATGAATCGACAACCTTGGAGATCCAACAGCTCTGAAAAATGTCTCGGGCGCTGCGGCCTTCTCAGAGCGTTCCGGAACGCTCTGAGAGCGTTCGGGAACGCCCTGGATTGGATTCATCCTCGTCCTAGACCCCCATGACGACCCCAAAACGTCGCATGTTTTGCTTGCTTTACAGCATGACCCAGGAGGTCTTTTCTTAGACAGGCTGGAAGGCGAGCGAATGCACCTGTAGCGTCAGTGGTGCCTGCTCCGGCAGGCGGGCAAGACAAGGGCCTCGAGCTCGATCTCGAGCACAGACGAGGACTCCTGGAGGTCTCGGCCACCTCCCCAGGGCAATTTTTCCATACTGGATAATTCGTTGACGGTCCTGGGGCCCAGTACGGGCCCTGGAGGCCAGAAACAGCCCGAAGCATCCTGTTTGCACAACGAGGAGGGTTGTTCTGCACCTGGTGTGAGAGGGGGCTCAAACAGATCTCCCCGCGCCCGATTTGTCCAGCGATGACTCTCAGTGTGCATACAACCATGTGGTGACGCGAAGGCTCCAAAGAGGGCCTCAAGGGGCGGGACACATCCAAGACGTAAAGACAATGGTGGAAGAGGAGCAGAAGCGGGAGCAGCAGGAGTTCTCGAGTTTCAACTTTCAACTCGCGCGCCGCGATTGGAGCACTTGGTAGGAATGAAAGAGTGGTAAGCTATGCACGCACACCAACTCATCAGTAGACCCGAACTGAACAGCTTGGAAGCAAAGCGAAACAGAAAATCCAACCAGCGGCACTCATGTACTCACATGCACCCCACACAGGACAGAAGTAAAGGAGGATGAGGGAGAAGGGTCTCCTTCGACCCCCTGAACTCCACCATCTGGCGGAGGCACTCCTCTGGGGCCGCGGCGAGAGCTAAAGTGGGGTCGTCGTCGTCGCCGTCGTGGTCGTCGTCGCCGGCGTCGCCGCCGTCGTCGTCCTCGCTGGCGCAGCCGTCGCCGCCGTCGAGCTCGACATCGATGTCGTCGTCGTCGGCGTAGTGTCGTCACCGCCACCGTCGTAAAGAGCCCAGGAAAATGCGGAATCTGAGCTGGAGTCGGAGAAGGCAAAGAGATGAGGAAGGCTCAACGGGGTTCGCACATTGTTTCCTGGTAGCGGGGCGGAGTGGAGTGGCGGCGGTACCTGGCACCGAAGTACCCGTGCGCTTCTAGGTAGGACGCAGAGCCTTAAAAGTATGGTTAAATTGATAGGCAATGCGGCGCATATTGGGGAAGTGGGTGGAATGTAGCACGAACCTGCACAAACAATAAGCGGAAATGTAATAGTGAAAGACCCGCGGCCAATCGAAGATGAGGAAAGCGTTGTTCAGGATCGTGCTTGTGTCGTGGCCGGTGTTGATGATCGGTGTTTTGTGCTGGTGGCCGGTGGTGGCCTGTGGTAGTCGATGCTGTTCGCCGATGGTGGTCAATGGCACTCGATGCTGTTGGTGCTCTGGGCCGGTGGTGGTCGGTGTTGGTGGTCAAGGCTGAATCGATGCTGTCGGAGGAGGAAGAATTGGGAGGGTGACGCGGGATGAGGGATGAGGGAGGAAGGCGATAGGAATGGCCCCGAAGGTCCCCCAAATAGGTCTTGGGGAGCCCTTCCTGGAGGCCTCTGGAGATCCTCGGAGGCTGCTCTCGCTGCCCGTCCTGCTCCCCGTCCTCGTCCTCGTGCTCGTCCTCTCTCTCTCTCTCTCTCTGTCGAGCTCACCCTTTCTCGGAGAAGCCCCCCGCCCTGAGCAGGTGATCCCTTGGAGCCCTATTCTTCCTCACCCTCCCCCCCTCCTGCTCCAGCTGGAGAAGAGCCGCGGCAGGGTAGGCCGAGAACGAGGACGGGGCGATGGCGAGGACAACGGCGAGGACGAGGACGACGCGAAATCCCAGAGTTAGAAGAAGAAAACACGGCACAGACACAAACTTTTTTGGCGCTCCGCGCGGACTTTTCTTCAATTTGAGCGGGGCCCCCCTCCGGCGCGCCAGGGGGGCGGCGCCGGAGGCGCCGCCGTGGGGGGCCCGGCGCGGGTCCAAGAATTCCGCGCGGAGCGCCACTTTGTATGGTCAGGGCGCCTGGGACGACTGCCCGCATCAACGGGGACCCCGACCGCATCAGTGGGGACCCGACAGATGATGATGCTGGTGATGATGATGGTGATGATGGTGATGAGGATGATGATGGTAGTGATGATGATGATGATGATGATGATGATGATGATGATGATGATGACATCTTGGGACGTCTTGGAAGATCATCATCATCATCATCATCACCATCATCATCATCACCATCATCATCAACATCATGACCATCACCATCACCATCCTCATCATCATCGTCATCATCATCCTCATCCTCATCATCATCCTCATCATCACAATCACCATCACCATCATCATCATCACCATCACCACCATCACCATCATCACCATCACCATCACCATCACCATCACCACCATCACCATCACCATCACCACCATCATCATCATCATCATCACCATCACCATCACCATCACCATCACCATCACCATCACCATCACCATCACCATCACCATCACCATCACCATCATCATCACCATCACATCACCATCACCATCACCATCACCATCACCATCACCATCACCATCACCATCACCATCACCATCACCATCACCATCACCTCACCATCACCATCACCATCACCATCACCATCACCATCACCTCACCTCACCATCACAATCATCATCATCCTCAATCATCACCACCACCCCACCACCACCACCACCAACCACAACCACCACCACCATCATCATCATCATCATCATCATCATCATCATCATCATCATCATCATCATCATCATCATCATCATCATCATCATCATCATCATCATCATCATACGCGCGGAGCGCCACTTTTTGTGCTCGTGGCGCCCGGTCGCCTTCGAGCGGCGCTAGATATCCTGGAGCTTCGCCGCGCTCCGCCCGCGGCCTCCAAGGAGCTCCCCAGACCCGCCCCCCCGGGGGGGCAGCCTCTCGTCCCAGGCGGGGGGGGGGGCCCGGGACACACAAATGAGGACACACACGCACAAATAATGCGGGATGGCGATGAATTAAAAAATGGGAGAGAACGATTAAAGAAATAATCCCACCAGCCCTCTGGGCGTAGGTTGTCTAGAGCAGATCCTCTTCCACCCCTCCCTCTTCCCCCTTGGGGAGGGGTTTACCCCTCCCCCTACCCCCTCCCCTGGACCTGGACGGAGGGTTTCGCGAGCGGTCGGACGGCTCTTTTGGCCCCAAGATGGCTTCAAGAGCGCGTCAGAGAGCCCAAGATGAGCTCCAAGATGGCTCAAGATAGCGCAAGATCGCTCGAGATGGCTCCTAAGACGGCTCCAAGAGGCCCAAAGACGGCCCCAAGACGGCTCCAAGTGGCCAAAGAGCTCCCCAAGGAGGCCCCGAAGAGGCCAACATCGCCCCAAAACCTTAAGGAAATCAATGTTTTTTGTTTTCTCCCTGTTTCGTTTCCGATGGCCATCCAAGGCCTCAAGATGGCTCCAAGATGGCCCAGGAGGACCCCACAAAAGGCCCAAGTGAGCCCCAAGACGGCCCCAAGAGCGCCCAAGAGCGCCCCAAGAGCGCCCCAAGAGCGCCCCAAGAGGCGATGTTTCGAGCCCCATGAGGGGGGGAGGCTAATTAGGGACCCCCCCTTCGTTGATCGATCTCCTCCAAGATGGCCCCAAGAGCGCCCCTGCAGCCCCCAAGAGCGCCCCAAAAGCGCCCCAAGAGGCGCCCAGACGGCCCCAAGAGGCGCCCAAGAGGCCTCCAAGAGGCCCCCAAGAGACCCCCAAGAAGCCTCAAGAGGATCTCCGACATGCATTTAAGACGCTTCTGGCTCTTCGGTTCGCCGTCCTCTTCAATTTCTCATCCCCCTCTTCCTCCTCGTCCTTTTCCTCCTTATTCTCCTTCTCCTCCCTCTGCTCCTTCTCCTCCTTCTCGCCCTCCTCGTCCTCTCCCTACTCCACATCCTCCTCCTCCTCATTCTCCTTCTCCTCCTCCTCCTCCTCCTCCTCCTCCTCCCCCTCCGACGAGGATTCTTTCTCCATCCCCCCCCCTCTTGGGGGACGTGACAGCTTCCCCCGCCCTTTGTTATTCTGCATGCTCCCCGACTTCCCTGATCACCTCAACTCCCCTGGGCATCGTTTCTGGATGGGCTGGTGGGGATACTTTTTTTGATTCGCGGCCCGCAAGGAAAAGTCCAGAGGGCGGTAAGAACGAGGCTGGGACAGCAGCGCACGGGAAACATATAATTAACGGCGCAGCACTGAGCCAGCCGAGAAGCAGCTGAACGTGTGCCAGCAGCAAAAGAAACGCTGAGCTCCTGCCAGCGATAAGGCCGCAAACCATCAGCTGAACGTGTGCCAGCGAAGAAGAAGGCAAAAGGAGCAGGACCCGCGGGTGGAGCCGGACTGCCAGGAGAACAGAGCCAAACCACTCACTCACTTGAAACGACGGTCAGCCGCACGCAACTGAGGGGAGTGCGGGCCGCAGCCCCAAACAATCGACCACCATGGACGCGACCACGAGAACCCTGGTACCAGGGCGGTGTGCGGCTGTGCATTTCGAGAGCACTCCTGTGACTGCGGCCGACGTCTCGCACGAGCGCCCAATGGTGCCTGACCAACAACCTTATATGCCAAGGCCGCCAAAGCTTACCGAACTGTCACCACGCCGGAACAAAGGGGGAGCGGAAGCCGCCGTCACGTACCGACGACGGGGGAGCCACTGCATGATGCCGACTCCAAAATGGCCCAGACATGGCCGAGGCCAGCGCCCGGTGTGTCCCGGCCCGCGCACGCCGCGGGCAAAACGAATGTAGAAAGCCGAGGGAGGGCGAGGCCTTGAGCGAGCCGTCTTGGAAGAACACGGGCCGACGCAGCTGGTGGGGATACGCGAAGCGTCAACAATTTTCTGCGACTTCTGCATAATTTTCTGAATGGAGGAGAACGATAAAAAAAAATCAGCCCGCGGCCGGTTTTTGCTAATCGTCATCCCGGGCGCCGCCGCGTGAACACGACCCCCGGTGATTTATTAATCGTCATCCTCTATTAAATACACACAGATAAGAATGGTTCCCATCTTTTCCCATAGTTTCTGGGCTGTTGTCTTCCCCCTCACTTCCCATATTTTCCCATATGTTCCTGGGAATCGACGATTCATTGTGCCTGTGTGTGTTTTTCTCTTGAGCACCGTCCCGGCATTCCTATAGTCCTACCACGACAGCTCTTAGAACCCAAGAATGTTCCAAGAACAACACACATGTTCTTAGAACATGAGCCCGATGTGTTAAAACAAGACAGTCCCAGCCAGAAATGTTCTAAGAACATTTCGTGCATACCACGAGAATCGGTAAGGACACCCCGAGCGCCGTCGTCGCCAAGCCTCCCGGACTCTGTGCCCTCAGCAGGAAAAAGCATGCCATAAAGATCAACACTTTGAGCAAGGACCGACCGTGCCGGCATTCCTATAGTCCTACCACGACATGTTCTTAGAACCCAAGAATGTTCTAAGAACAGAAAAAAGTTCAGAGAACATACACCCGGTGTGATAAGACAAGAAAGACCCCGCCAGAAATGCTCCTAAGAACATTTTGTGGAAACCATAAAAGGTTCTTAGAACATTGTTTGGTAGGGCTATATGCGAGCCAGGACGCTTCGCCACTGCTTGAACTCTTGGCGCTCCGCGCGGGTTTCTTGGATCTGTGCTGGACGCGCCAGGGGCGGCGCCAGAGGCGCCGCCGAGGGGCGCAGCATGGATCGAAGAAATCCGCGTGGAGCGCCACAAGTCCCACCAGCCCTTTAGGGCGTAGGTGGTGTAGGGAGCTTCCTCTTCTAACTCCCTTCTTCCCCTTCGGGGAGGGGTTCGTTCCCTATTCATAAACACCCCGTCCCCCACCTGGCCGGCAGCCAACCCGGAACCATGCGGGCACCCCCCCCACGATCCCGGTCAAAAAACAAGATCTAGGTCAAGAAACAATGCAAAATGCACATTGCGGGACCCCCCGTCAACAAAAAAAAACCAAGTGTACATTGCCGCAAAATCTGGACTGTGCGCTGGCGCCCTGTGAACACGCTGTATTGTTTTCTGACAAGGATGGCGGAATAACCTTGGTGAAACCGTTTTGTGCAGGACCACCCTCCGTGTCAAAAACAATGCAACAAGTTCGTTGCGACAATGTCATGGGTATTGTGCCAGCCGCCCGCGATCACTTTGTGCTGTTCTTTGACAGTGACGGCGGTGGTGCCCGCATGATGATGCGTGCTGTGCGCAGGCCCAGAACAATGCTGACGCCCCCCACATCAGCATCTGGACCATGCGGACGGGGGTGCATCACGTTTCTTACAAGAATGGCACACCAACCGCATGTGGAGCCCGCGGCGAGCGTCGCGCACCTGGCGCCCGCTTTGGTTCCCAGTGGCTGTCCATCCAGTGGCGACCCCTGGCTATGCCGAGACTCGGATGCCACTTATGTGGTGGGAGGGCGGGTGGGAGTGAACTAGACGGCTTGCGTGCGGAGAGGGTGTTTTGACCCCTTCCCCTACCCCCTCCCCCGGACCTGGACGGGGGAAGTCAAAATCAATGGTTTTACGATGGTTTTGGCACCATTTTGGCTTCCTGGGGGGGGCTAATTAGGGAGCCCCCCTCCTCTGATCGATATCACCCAAGATGGCCCAAAGATGGTCCCCAAGGCTCCCAAGAGTGACCCAAGAACACCCCAAGAGGTGGCCAGGAGGCCCCAAGAGGCCCCCAAGAGGCCCGCAGGATGCCCCCAAGAGGCTCCCAAGAGACCCCCAAGAGGCCCCCCAGAGGCACCCAAGACGCTCCAAGAGGCCTCGGCGAGAATGCCAAAATCATTGATGTTACCCAGGTGTTGGCTGCATGTTGGGCCTCCTGGGGGGGGGTCAGCTGACTCCAAGAGCGCCTGGGAGAGCCCAAGATGCCCTCCAAATGGCTCAAGATATCCCAAGATGCTTCAACATGGCTCCCACGATGCTCCAAGATGCCCCAAGACCGCTCCAAGCCGGCTCCAAGTGGCCAAAGAGCTCCCCCAGGAGGCCCCGATGAGGCCAACATCCTTCCAACACCTCAGGACAATCCGTGTGTGTGTGTGTGTGTGTGTGTGTGCGTGTGTGTGCGTGTGTGTGTGGCTTTCTCGCCTTTTCGCTTCCGATGGCCATCCGAGGCCTCAAGATGGCTCCAAGATGGCCAAAGAGGGCTCCAAGAGAGGCTCAAGAGAGCCCCAAGACGGCCCCAAGAGCGCCCAATAGCGCTCCAAGAGCGCCCCAGGAGGCGACCTTTGGGCCCCCGAGGGGCAACGCAAATTAATGCTCGCTTCTTGTTTGATCGATGTCCTCCAAGATGGCCCCAAAAGCGCCCCCAGGCTCCCAAGAGAGTTTCAAGAGGACCCCAAGAAGCGCCCAGGAGGCCCCAGGAGGCCCCCAAAAGGCGACCAAGAGGCCTCCACGAGGCTCCCAAGAGACCCCCAAGAGGCCCCAAGGAGCTCTTCGCGGCACCCAAGACGATTGCGTCCGGGACCGCCAAGAGGCCCCCAAGACGCTCCAAGAGGCCTCCACTGGAGGACCCTTCCTCTGTGTGCTGCCCACTTCCCTGATCGAGGCAATTCCTCTGGGCATCGTCTCTGGATGGGCTGGTGCTGTTTTTTCGGTTCGCGAGCGCAAACGGAAGGGCCGCGCGCCGTCCAAAGCTGCAGCTAACAAGCAGGAGCCTGAACCCGAAGCGTCTAGAATCTATGCTTATGCGGTTTTTGCGTCTTCGATCCCATCCTGGTTCTGCAGCACGGCCGCCATGAGCCTCTCGATGTCCTCGAAGGCGATCTGCCACTGCCGGTAGCGCGCCCGCGCCTCCTTTGGTGTGGTCGGGGCGGCGACGGCGACGCCGCATGGAGGGGGAAGAGAGGGAGAACGGAAGTTGGAGGGAGCAGCGGGACGGAGCGGGGAGGGGAGGAGAGAGATGATGGGGAGGGTGAGCAGGAGAGGAAGGAGGAGCGATATGATGCTGAAGATGGCGATGGTGATGACGATGACGACGACGACGGTGATGATGCTACTGATGATGATTATGATGCTGATGCTGATGATGATGCTGATTATGATGGTGATAATGCTGATGATGGTGGTGATGCCCATGCCGATGCATGACGCATGGTGATGTGATGAATGATGAATGATGTATGGTGATGATGACGGTGATGCTGATGGCCATGACCATGAGAGCCCGATTACGATGATCCTGATGAAGGTTATGATGATGAGGACGATGCTGTGGATGATGACTATGTCGATGTGAATGATGACTGTTGGTTATGATGATGGTGCTGATGATGGCCATGACGGCAATGACCATGACACCCCGATTACGATTATCATGATAAGTGTGATGATGATCACGATGCTGATGATGATGTCGATGTTGATGTTGGTGATGATGACGGTGCCGATTTGGGTGATGATGATGATCATGTTGCTGATGCTGATGATGGCTATGCTGTGACCATGACGATGGCGATGATCATGATGATGGTTATGCTGCTGGTGATGATGGTTATGATGTCGATGCTGATCATGATGCGAATGGTGCTGATAATGGTGACGATGAGGACGAGGAGGAGGAAGATGGTGACGATGATGATGATACAGATGGTGGTGACGATAACCATGATGATGGTTATGTTGATGATGAGGATGGTGATGATGATGATGATGAAGATAATGGTGATGATAATGCTGGTGATGGTGATAGTGATGATGCTAATGACGATGACGACGACGATGATGATGACGATTATTGTGATGATGATGACGATGACGATGACG